ATATATATATATGCTATATTATATATATGGTATACATATGATACATATATATATGATATAATATGTAAATTAAATATATTATGATATAATATTTGCATGGTATATATAATATTATATATTATATATCATATACAAAATCATACTTGCATATATATATAGGTATATATTATGTGTGCAACATATATATATATATATGTATGTACTCTATATAGTATATGTATAAATTTTAATCAGTAAAACATAGTACATGCTATAATATAAAATATATGTATAATATACTATATATGCATATATTATTATATATATAATCCTATATGCTTGATAACATACTATAGTAGAATATAATATATAATATACATGCAATATAATTTAACATAGATATGTGACATGCAAATGTATACGTCATATAGATATATGACATATATATATATATACATATTATGCACACACTATATTATATATATATGTATGCTGTGCAACATGGCCATATACATATATGTACACATATATGTATATTAATATATATATACATATGCATGCATTAATAATTTTATATGAATATATATATATATATGAACATATATATATATATATCAATATAAATATATATATATATGAATATGTATATATATTAATATATATATATATGAATATATATATATGAACATATATATGAATATATATATATATGAATATATATATATATATATCTATGAATATATATATATATGAATATACATATATATATATGAATATATATATATATGAATATATATATATATATATATGGATACATGATATTGATACACATATATATGTATATATTATTACACACACACTATAGTACTATATATATATATATTTAATACACATACATGCATAAACAAATTGCAGCATTTGTTTGCGCTTTATATATATTATATATATGTATATGTATATCCTGCACACTTACATTTGCGTTAGTATTTGTGGTCCGGGGGTGAACTGGCACGTGTTGGGGACGATCCACTGGGCGCTTTACGACGAAGTGATGCTGCAGACAGATCGCGCAAATCGCTGTTCCACAGAGAACGGGAAGTCTTCTCCGTCGACAACCGGCGACTGTCGTGATACAAGCAGTACCATCTGCAATCGGGCATTGGCAACGGACCATGCAAGGTGTGTGGCAGAGATGAAGCCATGACCGATGACCGTGGGACTACGACAAGTGTGCGTGGACTTCAGCATGACAATGCAGGGCTCGATGGTGATTCGCAGCACAACGGTAGTTAGCCTATAGCTGACACCCCTATGCGTGTTGGCCAACTCTGTTTAGTGGGCGCCCCAAAACAACTTCACTGGCCGATGCATATCATAAAACAGCTAGCCTATGAGCCCCGCACAGCTTTCACGCCTGTAGTATGGGCATAGGGGTTCACTTTTTGCAAACAAACAGCTGATCAACGCCCTGAAGTACAGGCCAACCCAGGTTTGCACATGAGAAAGGGGCGCGGGGGCTGGAGGTATGCAGTTCCCAAACTCTTCTGCCGGCTTCGGCTTTTAGGCAACAATGGTTGGAACCCTTTTCCCAAACACGGATTGCAAAGGATCGATCGAGCTTGCATTCACACAGCATGACGGAATCCAATTTTAAGCCCAAAGACTGCTTGTTGACAGCGCGTTTTCAGGGGTGATGTTGCATGTGCATAGAAACCATGCATGCATGCATGCACATACGTGCAACTAGCGATCCTAAGCTGGGGTGCAAGGAAAGCTGATCTTACGAGTGAATCCAAAATTAAGGGCAGCAATCGCAAGTGATCAAGATCCCTAGCTCAGCCGATTTCCTGAAAGGGCAAGATCGGTCTGTGTCGATCTCTCCTACTTGCCGACTTGCCTGGTCTAAATAAAAGATTAATTGTCGTTGTTGCTTGTGTATGTGTGTGTGCTGGTGTGTGTGTGTGTGTCTGTGTGTCTATGTGTCTGTGTGTGTGTGTGCGCTCGCGCACGTGCATGTGTGTCTGTGTGTGGGTGAATGTGCGTGTGCGTGTGTGCATGTGTGTGTGTATATGTGTGTGTGTGTGTGCTTGTTTGTGTGTGTCCGTGAGTCTGTGCGACTGTTGGGCTGCGTCTTTTGTTATGTGTGTATGCGTTGTGCGTGTGTGTGTGTGCGCGTGCGCACAGGCATGCAGCACGTACCTGTGTCTTCGTGGGTGAACCCATCAAGAGCGAGGGTTCCCAATTTACTGCACAAAGCATGCATTTTCTTGTAATGATGGAAGTCACATGTTTTTCCGGGTACATCACTCAATTCGATTGGGCCTCAAGGCAGATCTTGTTGTGGCCGAAGAGTAGGATCACCACTAGCAACAGCACCTAAGGAACAGAACATATGTGTGCGTCGCGATTAGCCTGATCGAGATAGAACTGCGCTCCATTACCATGCATGCATTTAGCCAAGGAGCGCCTGGCGCCTTCACCTTCATCAAAGATAAAAGCAGCTTTTTCAGCCGCATGTCATCCATGGCCGCGCTACAGCCCCGAGCCCTGAATTCAAAGCCGAATGACCAACACAGGCCTTGTGAACTCAAACAAGTGGAGGATGTCCGTTGCATATGTGAGCTTAAAAAAGTGTTTTATCCTTAAAGCACGCTACATGACATGTGTGCCTTTGACGATGAGTTGAACCTTTCACAGCTGCTGTTGCACAGAAAACTTCAGGCTGACCTCAACTCACGGTTGCAAAGCAATCAATCACGCATGATGTGTCGACTGCATGCATGCGATAATCCCACACAGCCCGCCATCTCATTTTTTGAGCGGATTGGCCATCATACATTTCAAACAAAAATGATGATCGACCCTCCCAATCTCTATAGGTAGGCAAGGCGTGTCAACAAATGATGGAAGGGGGCGGCACCTGAGCCTTTCCTCTTCAGGAAGCTCCTCCGGATGACCCACGCAGAGCTCATTGTCGCTGTTCAGGAGCCTGCCGCGCGCAAGGTCGAGCCGGTTGAGGGGAGTTCTGGGCGGCTTGATGGATGGGGTTGGGGCCACATGCAGAATCTCAAGAACAACACGTTGCATCGAGGCATTCACACACATGCCTTCCCCTTTCAATGGGTGCCCTTTGTTCACTTATGACCTGACACCCTCACGGCCCTTTTTGTTCGCAAGCTGCAATCCATGCGGGATATGTCAATCTAACTCAGGGCTGGCGACTGCGTAATACCCCGTGGTCGGGCTCCGTAGGTGGCCATCAAATCCACATGCCATCCCAAAATAGGGGAAATTAAAGGTGGCGCCTGAACCATAATACTTGCAAACATATATAGGCTGTGTGCAAGGGTCAAGGTTAGGCCAGAAGATCCTTAAGCAAATAATACTGCAATGGAAGCACATATGCTGCGATCGCCCAACACAATTCTCAGGAAGCTGTTTGTTGCAGTTTGCAAATGCACACTATGGCTACATCAACATCCCTTCATTGCCACCAACCGGAAATGCCCAATGATGAAGCAGTCTCCCTGAAATATTGCATATACTATGCATGGGCAGCACTTGGCCCCATAAACACTGCGCGTGTGCTATACACGTGCATGAAGCTTCAAACTTCAGTCAACATCCACAGGCTTTGGCGAAGAGGCTTGCTTTCCACGTTGACCCTTGAACTCCGGCTGCCGACAGTGCCCGCAGCCCGTGCTGCACCCACGGCACGAGGCACATCCCAAGATCAAGTCCTTGCATAGATCGCAGCCGGTCTCGGAGTTGTGGCAATGCCGGCATCCTGGGCGTGTGTTCGGCGCGATCCTTCGGTAGGCGCGTGGCTTCTTCTGCTTGCCCTTGGTGCCCTTGCTGGCTGTAGAAGCTGACGGGGCATCCGAAGTGCGGCTCTGCCTCGTCCTGCGACGCTTGCCGGGCATATCCTGCGACATCTTCTCCGACTCCTTGCCCACATCCTGCTGGCACACATTGGGTTTGGGGAAGGGCTTTTCAAACCGCGACCAGCCGCTCCAAGTAGTGACAGTCCCGGCGTTGTCCTTCACTTCGGTGGGTTCTGGAAGCGGATCGGATGGCATAGGCGTCTGCTTGGCTTTGGATGCCTTTTTCTTGGCTTTCTTGGCCGTGGTGGGGTCAGCAGGCACATCAGCTGGCACAGATGGCTGGGGTTCTGGAGGTGGCCCTTCGCTTCCTGCCTTTGGCTGGTGGCTCCTCCGCACATGGGTCGGATGGCGCAGAAGCCCTTCGCTTCCTGCCTTTGGCTGGTGGCTCCTCCGCAGGTGGGTCGGATGGCGCAGAAGCCCTTCGCTTCCTGCCTTTGGCTGGTGGCTCCTCCGCAGGTGGGTCGGATGGCGCAGAAGCGCTGGGCTTCCTGCCTTTGGCTGGTGGCTCCTCCGCAGGTGGGTCGGATGGCGCAGAAGCCCTGGGCTTCCTGCTTTTGGCTGGTACCTCCGCAGGTGGGTCGGATGGCACGGAAGCCCTGCGCTTCCTGATTGTGGCTGGTGGCTCCTCGCTTTCAACCACCTTGGCCGGCTTGGGTGGCTTGGCCGATGCGGGCTCGGCCGGCTTTTTGGCACGCTTTTTGCGGCCTCTTGTGAGGCCCTTGGCCAACGTGGTGCGCAGATTGGACTGCTCCGCAGGGCTCACAGACCAATTGGGCATGTCCACCTTGCAGGGTTTGCCAAAATCACTTTCCGGCTATATAGACAAATGATTCGGGATCCCTGATTCGGGGGCCCATGGACATACGCGTATACTTATAGTGCAATTGCGCGCCATCCTTGCACGACACCAAATATGCGTACTATGAAGCAATCGCATTGTATTCGCAATATAATTTATATAGTACGATACGTTTCAAGCGGGGGTGTGAGATACCGGGGATTGGAGTTGGGGACGGTGGCCATGCGGTGATACTTTTCCCAAACAATGGGCTTGTTTGGGCACAACGTGGCAACGAAACACAGCTCTAGATCAGTATGGGATGCATTAACGTTGATCAACGATCTTTTTAAGATGACTTAAACGATCCATGCACGGAGCCTTTCTTCTGGGAACCTAGCCTTCTCCGGTGTCTCCACAAGCTCCGGCTTCTGGGCTGGGGACGGGGTTCTCGCAGCGCTGCCATCTGCCGTCACGACGTAGGCCTGCGTCTCCACCTGGCAGGGGACGAGGCCGGCAGCTGGGGAGAGTTAAAATCAAACCACAACAGCGATCGATCAGTAAAACGGGTGATTGCATGGTGCAGCCATAGATTTCGTGGTTTTTTTCTTGTGCGCTGGTCCCCACTCAAGCCTGGTCCGGATTGATTGGAGCTTCGGGCAGATCTGGAGGCAATGCATGGCCTAGCAGGCAACAAGCCATCTGACGCAAATGATTTTGTCTAAAGGTTGTTCCCAAACATGCATGCATGCGTGTGTGTGTGCATCTTGTACATGGGAACCCGGCCATCAATAGGGGTCAACTCCACACACTACAGGAGTGTAAAAAAGCTTCCACTACTGCTGGCTTGTATAGATTTAAACAATCGAAATCAGCTTAGCGCCCCAACATACGGCCTTCAGCCGGCTTGCTGCGCGGCTCCTCGCCAGCACCACTGGCAGCATGAGCACCAGCCACTCCATCTGATGCACCAATCTGCCTTCAAGGGGGCGAAGCTATGGAGACCAGGGGCGCCCAACCAAGTCAAATAACACATTCAGCCAACATGGTGAATTTAAAAAACGAAAAATGCGCATGCAGTATATATACAGATCGATCTTTAATTTTTACTTTAGCTCGATCAATAGACTATAATGAGGTATACGAGGCAATCAGGTCCGTACATGCTTGGGGCATGGGCCTCTCGGCCATTTGAAGTTCCACCAGCAGGCGATCCAGTTCAGCTTGGAGCTGCTCCTCTTCGGATTGTTGCGGGGCACCTTCGTTGGCCTCCGCCTGCTTCTTCGCGTCCTCCGCCAGCGCAAGCGCTCCTAGGCGTCTCAAGTCTGCCTCAGACTTGCCTTCCAGCTCCTCCAGCGTTCCAAATGTACCAGAACAGTACGATGAGTTTTCCCCATCCCTACACATCTCCGAATTTGATTCCATGCATACATACAGTCCTTCAGCTCAGCGCCCATGAAGCGCACGTTCTCCATAGAGCCCTCCTCGTGAGAATCCACAACCTCTATTTCTTTCTCTTCCGACTCAGACTCGCCGGACTCGCCATCCTCGTCCGTGTCCCCCTCATCGCACTCATCTTCTCGCAAGGGTCCATGACCAAAGTCCCGCAGCAGCTGAAAGATCTCGCGCACCGCTTCATCCTCAAATGTCCGAAAGCGATCGCATGCCATCGATCGAATCGCAATTACATGTTTATATACATAAATATTGTAATAGGTCAACGTACGTACTTTTTTACTGAAGGTGTGCAGGCATGGTTCGCGTGGCGTTTGGTTCCTCTTAGCCGCATCTTGCTGCCTCCTGCGGGCATAGGTGTAGAGCCTACGTAGCACCCACGCATCCACGTACGTCTGACGGCGGTCCGCCTGGGCCCCCATCACCTGATAAAGGCCCTTGATCGGGCCCAAAAGCATCCGCACCTTGAGCTTGCGCGGCGCAAAGCGCCGAATCAAAGCTGCAACTGCAGAGCTGTTGAAGGCCAAAGAGCGCGTGCTCATCGGCCTCTCCATTTCATCTTGTTCAGGATCTTTGCTAGGTGGAAGCAAGAGCCACGCTTTGTCCCCCTTGAATCTGCGCCTGATCGTCGAGCTGGCCTCCCACGAGTCCACCAGCGCCTTGTCCGTCTCAAGCCGAGCCATGAGCCACTAGCCAAGCAACGCCGTACAAGCCAAATGCCTCGCCCTGGTCGAAACATCCATATATCCACTATAGGTTCGCTCCCCAAGGAAAACAATTGGAGGAATAAGATTGCACACGATCGAGCATGAACATTGCCGTGAGACTGAATGCACATGCATGCTTAATCAATAAAAAACGTACTGCATGACGCCTCCAGAATGTGAGTTTGATTGGATCTGCGTACTTACGGACATCAGTGGCTCTAGTGGACGCACACCCGCATGCATACAGGAGAGAACTGCTGCATCACACAAACGTACAATAGTTTTTGCTATTGGACATGCTGAGGCCTGAGGTCATGCTCGGCTATATCATGCCCCTGATAAGTTTCACAAGGAACTGTTGCAACAGCATGCTCGATCCTGGACCCATCCTAATTCATCCTGAATTCATGAGGGGCGTGCAGTTGTGTGAAGTACGGCGCAGTAGCATGAAGTATACCCATGGAGCCCCGCGAAGTGAGCGTGAGGGTGTTCAGTTTACAGTACGTGTATATGTGTCCTTACCATGCATGATGTTGTGTGAAGTCGGCGACCCATGCCCGCAGTACGGCTATATAGGGTTTTAACAAGCACATGAACTTGATTATACGTCCCCACTCTCACGTGCATACACCGTCACACTTGCTTTCATCATGGGCGGAAACAATGGGCCATGCACATATGTTTGATCATCACAGTCAGAGGAGACAATTGATGTTGAGCCTGCGAATCACATCACGCATGCAAAGTTGACACAAATGCCGTGTGATGGTGGCCCGACCATTTAACTCACTATTGAGACTGTTGGGTGAAGTACAGTCGTACGTTCATGCACTCAAATCAATCCGGCCGCCACCCCCTTGCCTTTGCATCACCCGATGTTCACGCCCGCGGACTTCCGGAATCCTGAAAAATGGAGGGCCGGGGAAGGTGGGGGGGAGAAACCCTACGTGAGTGATCCATCATGATCCATCCTACTCACGATATCGCATGCATTCTTACGAGACAACTGTATATATGTGTGCATATGTATATGCGTGCATGTTTGGCACATGAGCATATGCTTCAGTCCTCTCCGCCGACAGGCACCGGCATGGATCCAGAGATCCATCATGGCGAGCCGATGCCAAAAAGTGTGTGCAGGGGGACCAGCCTTTTTTCCAGTCACTGTTGCTGTGTTTTGGGGGGTAAAGTGCATGGAAGAAAACAGCAACGGGCGATCCATATGGTGCTAAACCATGCATTTCAGTCACTGTGACATTCATTGTGGTAACTACATATGAAGTGACTACTATTTCCGACACTATGCACCGGTGACTGATTTTTGAGCCACTCTCTGACAGTGATCGAAAAAAACATGCACAACGGCGAACCAGGCATGCCTACCTTGGCACAAAAGCAGGTGTCTTGTTTGAACCAGACAGGGTGGAAGACATAGAAGGGGGTTGTGGGGTACCTTTAAATCAAATCGCGTCGTTTATACACACAAAACTCTTCGTAATCATTTTCGGGCAAGAACCAAAAGGACCCACCCGGCTGAATACCCCATTTGGGTATTTCTGATACCAGTTTCAGGGTGCCACAAAAGATGGCTCCAGTCTGAGCCCCAAGCTGTCAATGTCGATTCCGGCATCCAGTAACCTGCACAGTCCGGACGCGTTCGAGCCCTAGAAACAATTCTAAAGGGGTCTGATTGGAAAACACTCATATTCTAACTGGGCCAGACTTAGACCCCCTGAAACAAGCGTGTGTTTGCTGCTTAAATGGAAAACCAGCTAGCCAAATGCAAAGACAAGCATCTGTCTTATGCAAATGGCACAAGCAAGTATCCCGCGCTCAACATGACATAAAATGCAACCCCGACCCGAATTCCAAAATACACATGGCCTAATTTGAGTGTGTGCGTGTGTGTGTGTGAACAACTAAACAAGTCCACCCCTGGAAAATCCGAAAACAGGATACTTTGACAGTGCTTCTCGAGGCCCCCCATACTTCACCTTACACATCACCCCGCTTACTGTAAAGGAACTCACTTAAAATGAGCCCCAAAAATGATGTTTTTACTCCACCAAACAGAAGAAACATAGACGTTCGAGCCCTCAAATTCGAGACCGCGGCGAGCCTTTGAGCCCATCTCTGCACCATCTGGGGCTCTCGGTAGGTGCGGCCTAAGGCTTCCGCAAGGCCTCCAAAGGCCCTTTGGAGGCCTTCGGAAGCATGGGAAGAGCAACCCAAGCAACAGGATCTATGAAAGGAAGCTTCATGTGGCCTGAGGTAAACCAAATACAACTTGCCCAGAAAAGAGACGCTCTTTTGTCTGTGACTGGCAGGGTCGAACTGTTCCTGAATGAGCCAACAAGCCCGGCATAAGCCCTCCCCTCATAGATCTCTCAAGGCTTCCCAAATGGGCCATCTCTTATGGTGGCAATGTTTCGCTTTGAAGCCATCCACACTGGGGCGTCGATAAGGCCACGACCCCTTGGGGCTCCCTGTCTCGTCCCCGTGCGCTTGATGGCGTCAGTGAAAAGTTGCGAAGCCATGCCAAGAAACACGAATGGCTTTGCGGGTCCAAGGAAGTACTGTACACATGGGTATACATACATATACTATATGCATAGAGGATCAGGGCTTCCCCCCCCCTTCCCTGCCCCCCAATAGATCCCTCGGTGGCGGCACAATGGCTGCTTCTCAATAAGCTTGTGGAATGTGGCGGCCCTTTCCTTGGGTGCTGAAGAGGATCATCCCTATCACCATCGTCAAGCAAAGGACATCCGTCGTCCAAAGGGTTTTCGATCATAGAGCAGGCATGTTGAGGACCTTGCCTTTTCTGGGGGCCAACCTTTTGAGCAAAAAATATTTTCTTAATGGGAAAACCCATCCAAATTGTTGCCCTGTATCCTTGAAGGTGTGCTCCTGATGCCTCAAAGCGATCTGATACATTACCAATTTCTTTGCCACAGGTTCTGGAATGTTTTCTGTAAATTGCGGGGAGGGTGCGAACAAATCGACCTTTCGACTTGGCCTGTACCTGCAAAGTCACAAAAGGCCAGGAATCGACACACAAAACCAGAAGAACCCATCGGCCACATGTGACTGTTAACCTCGCGGCTTCACGTCTTAGGCCCCCGTCCATCGCCAATGAGCAGGACAAAGACATCAGCACTGGGCCTAGGCGTAAAGGGATGACTCACCTGCTCGCTGAAAAGCGCGGAAAAGCGGAACAGCACGGAAGAGCGCGGAAATGCCCCCTGTTGGTGTATCAAGGGGAAGCTAAAAGCACGCCGATGAACTTCTTTTGGGGGACCGACTCCTATTTTGAGAAAACCTCCGGGTGTCCTGCTTCCAGACTTTTCTTCCGCACCAAACGCCCCGCGAGCGAGACAGACCGCGTCGTGGGGTGCCCCGCTGAGCAATCTCCTCGATGACCCCCTCAGCCTCCTGGCAAGGAAACCCCTCTGCTTCCCTCTAACTTGTGGTTTGGATTGGCGGTTTGGAGGGACGGTTTCTCTGCCAACTATCCCAAAGAACCAGGAATCCAAATAAGAGGGTCGCAGCAAATGGACATGGTCCTCCGAAGCTCACGAAAAACAGCTGGCCAACAAAAGCAGATGTTCCCACCATGGATGCGATTTTTCTCTGGACCATTTGGGTGGATTCCGAGGACCCGTTGACATAGGACCTCCAGAAAGAAAGGGGCACGGGTGGAATCCATCGAACAACTGAACAATTTCTGGCGAGTCTGCCTGCAGCAAGCCCAGCTTGAGGTAGCTGGCAATGAGCAGTTTGTAGGTCTGAACCTCGCCCAATCGCCCAATTTGAGCCACTGTGATAGTTGTGGACAATTTTCATTTAGTCATGATTCGTATACTGTTAGAAATGCGTTGGCCTTGTATTTTATCTTTGGACCAGAATCGCACCTAACAACTGGCTGGTCGTCACGCTAGGGTTGGGAGGCATGAAGCCCCGTGATAAAAGCGAGCAACCACCTACCAGCTGGTGCAGGGGGCTGTCCATCCACAGTGTGTGCGTGTGTTCACAGCTGACATTGGATTTGGGTGAGTAACCCCCCTTTCTTAGCCGTGATCCGGAGAATGTGCAAACGTGCATCCCTCTACATGTCCAAAACGTGGGACTGTCGCCTGTCAAAACAATGGACACATTGAGGGGGAGTTGATAAATAGAGTCAAACACCCTTTTTGCCAGTCTTTGGTCAGGCCTAGATCCCTGTGGGGCCTCGACGGTGACCTTTTACCCAAAATGACTCTGCCCTCAAAAAAAACCTCCGTTTTTCATCAACCGGGATTCGTCCTCAACAGAAACCCTTACCGGTCAACACCAAGACAGGCGAAGAGTAGCATCTAGAGTGACCGGATCCCCGTGCTTGTTTTGGCACATCTCTTGAATAAGAGAAGCACCGTGAGCTTTGAACTCACAAAAGCAAGTAGAGACATTTACTTCAGATTGAGCTCATTGAAACTTTGTTTGATTCCTGAACAAATGATTGATTTAGTTTGGTTCGGGATTTGGTTTGGGTTGGCTCTGTTTATCCAAAGCAGCCAGATCGCTCCCCCTTTCTCCGCCCCGCTGGGTGTGCCGGGCGTCGGGAGAGAGGCCCAATCGCTTGGCGATGGCCGTCCACTCTACAGCCTGGGGCCCCGTGTCTGATTGAAGCCTCTGGTTGGCGGTTTCCCGTTGTCCCTTCAACACCTTTTGCGGGGTCTCCCACCTCAAAACGCGTCAAATGGCGATGAGCGTCTCTGAGGTTACCCGATTCTTTTTTGCGCATGTTCTTGCTTGTGCGTGCTTTTGTGTAACCAAACACACTGTAACCAAACACACCGCTCACTTTGGCCTGGCGACCAGGGATTAGAACATGTATTCCAACTACCAAGAGCCAGCTGGGGGGATCTCTCGATTCTATCTTGCTCCCCGAAACACTGCACCTGGAGGGTAGCTGAATCAATGTCCTCTCGAAGGGACTCATGTTCTTGGGGTGGTAACCACAATACAGTGGGTCTCTCGACTGGCAAACACCCAAGTACAACACATGACCGATAGGTGCAATCAAAGCCTTGTGCTAAACATGTCTGTCCAAAACCAGGTAGCAAATCAACAAATGGGCAATGGCGCCCATCTATAGTTGGGATTGTTCCTGACAAAGCTTCACCTACCTGGGTGTCAAGTGGTTCAATGAAAAAGGAGAAGCGAGCTGACCAAAATACATTCAAAAGGAAACCAAACAAGCTGATGGAAGCTTGGAAGCTTCGCCCATCCAAATCCTAAAGCCACCAAGCAAATCCCTGAGAGTTGTTCTCATTCGACCCGACCAGCACACCCCTGGGAAAGGATAAAAGGACGCCCAGTTTATCAATTTTCTAGCCAAAGGTGGTTTGGTCATTGCGTCGTGGTTCGGAGCAAACAGTACTACCAACACCAATTACCTTCCATGCTGGTGGCGTGCAAATAGAAACCGAAAAGGCGATCCCATCAGGATTGCTCCCAGTCGACCTAGACTTTTAGCACCCGAAGAAAAAAAAAAAAAAAAAAAGGACCCCCTTTTTTCCGATGTCTTACCGATGTCTTGCCACAAGGTGGTTTGCCCATTCAGGCCACACACCAAAAATAACACCAATCTCCTTATTGCGAATACTAATTCCTTCCATACCAGTTTTGTTCCACACCTCAAATTATCTCAAATTGTGTGGGGAAGCCGCCAGTAGCTGCGTCCCGAAATAGACTAGGGAACCCCACTGGGCGAATATCGGCGCCGGTTTTGTCAACACAACCCGTTCGGTGGGATTTCAATCCTAGTCCGGATTTGTGGATTGGATTTTTGAGGATGCTAAAAACAGGTTTGGAATCGGGTTGCTTTTCTCACCCAGCAAAAGGTCTAGTCGGTTTAATGGAAGAACTATTTGCTTCCAAAAGGTACGAGGCTTAGGTCACACCAAAGACCAGTGAGGAAAATGACTGCGTATGGCTATACAATGCAGGTTGACTGTAGAAGAGCCTTGCTTACCGAAAGGACCTGGGCACCAAAGGTCACCCTTTTGGGGTCACGGCTAGAAACGCCCAGACTTCCACCCCCCTTTCCCAAAGAAAAAAAACAACGACTTTTTGTTGGTTGAAAGCACGCCCAAAAGGGGCAAAAGGTGACTAATGTCTGGCAATATAGAAATGGATCAAAGAGGAAAGCTCAACGCTCAAAAGGCCGGCTTTGGGCAACTCACGATGTCCCTGCCGCACCTTGTCAAGATTCTCTTGGTCAGCAAAAGCTCCAATGATCTCGTTCACCTCACCGAGCAGTGAAACCGAGTGAATCAACCCAGACTCCAGACCCCCAGTCAATTTCCATCGGGAAAACGGAATCAACACTCTTGTCTTCCGGAGTAGTTGAGTTTACATATAAAGGACAAGCCCTCCCAAAAAAACGACAAAGCAAGCAACATATGGGCTTGGGGAAAAGCACGCCAAGCAAAAGTCATTTGTGCCAGGAGGCAAGGCCCAAAGCGCCACAGTTGACAGGAACACTGAGACAAAACAAAACTGGTTGGAAAGCAGGTGAGGTGCCTGAAAACTCCTTGGTGAGATTCTATTTGAAACCTGAGCTCAATTCTGGGCACTGAGGCTGACGCATCTGTTACGCACTGAGTACTGTGGATGCAGTGCCAGTTGCGGTTACGGTGATTTATCGCGGTATTCATCAGGTTTCATCCATCTCAACTGGTGCAAGAGTTGTTCATCCACAGCATGGTCAATCCCGGATTTTGGAACCCTCTTCTTGGATTGGGGGGGGCGCTGTGTTTCCACCCTCCAACCTTTTTAGCACCATTTACCCTCTGGCTGTAGGGTCCAAACAGGTTGGGTCAAACGGGGTCCGCTAGCTGTGTAGGACAGACTCGGAATGTCTTACAGGCTCCGGACGTTTCCGAGGCTTGCTAGTGGTCGATTTCCTTCTGGCTTCCCTTGCTTACCTTGCAACTTCGACCAAAACGGCGCCCTGAATAACGTCCACTCTGGATCAATTAATCCAGAGTACTTTTTTTCCTCGGATTAGGATAACCCAAAAAGGGGTGCCCAAAAGGAGATTCCTGTAACAAGCGTTCGTCTTGACATTGGCAGGACACTGTCTGGGACTCGCGCGCACTCCATATCTGGCTGCAGCTTCATTTGCATGAGCCGCTCGAACCAGGTCTCCAACTGTACCTTAGAGTCACTAAGGATGAAGCCAAGTGAAGGAAACGTGATCTGGGCAATTTAATGTCAACTTCTGCACAACCCAAATGGGCATAGGACCCCAAAAATATATCATTATCTTGTTAAAGGGGAAGTACTCCGGACTAATCCGCAGCTAACATTGCTATAATTTACAAGTTGCGAATTGGATCTGAACGAGATTGTTTTGCGAAACACCCCCCCCAGTTGTCAAACTTTGTGATAGGTGACTTTGTTTTGTGAAAAGCACCAACTGTACCTACCTGCATAGTTCGCTCAAAAATAGGGCCCCCAAAATGTTTCCAGTTGTACAAGTTCAAATGGCGGGCCGACCGTTGTAAGATTCCAAAGGTGTATTCCCCGATCCTTTTCACCTGTAGCTCTTTTGAGAAAGCGACTCTCCCGTGTTTAATCGCGATTCCCTGAAAAGAAGGATCCCTGGAAACCCGTTGTGAATTTTAGAGGAACCTTTGGATATCTGGGGGTTCATCACTTTTGAGGCTGTTCCCAGGAAAAACTCATAGCCAAAATACACTTCCCTCCTCGGGCTCCGCGCTGTGTCCTGGGCTTTCCTGAGCGATCGCAGGATGTACCTCGCACCATCGATGCGTCTTGGCCGTGGCGCTATCAGCGAACCTCTGAAGAGTTGCTGGTGGACACAAACCCCCATGATGTCGGCCGTGCCGGGGTGGCGAATTATGCATTTAAATACACCCCCTGAAGGGTTGGACATGAACCCTCGCAGACATGATGTCGGCCAGGGGTCCCCAATTGAAATTCACACCCGGCAACCCCATGAGATAAATGCCCGAGGGCGCACAATTTTGATCTGCCTGTTACGGGCTGCTCCAATGGCCACGTTGCCCTCATGTTAAGGTCGGGGCTAGGGCTGTTGAATTGCACCCGGCAGTTTGGTTGCACTACCCTTGGCAAGACTTTTATTCACTGCGGAAAGAAACCATTGACACTTCTCCGCGTGAATTCTGGGTGAAGTCTCTTTTTCTTGGGGGGGGGGGTACGAAGCAACAACGACAAACGCGGCAAGTTGAGTCAAGTCTGGCAATGTACCCAACGTCAAGCCTTTTTCTGCGAGTTTCGCTTCGGGATGTCCTGAATGGACGATCTCTTCCCGGAGCTCGAGGCCGTGGCTTCAGAGCGATTTCTCTCGCAACGTTCGCGGGGCTTCCCGCAAACAAGAGAACGCTTCTGCCATAAGTTGCCTTTCACTAGACTCACATTGTCCCCAAGTGCCTTGGTTTGGTGGTTTGAACGTTGGGTGAAGTTGGGTGCCTCCGCCATTTGGCCTCAAACCAAACAATTCAGGGATACCTGATGAACTCACCTGCCCAAAAGACATTGAGATAACAAATGAACCAATTTGGAAGCAAAAGACGCCTTTGTAAAAGGCGATGTTCAAACAGCAAGGACATATTATGGGCATTTTAAGCTTGATTGCTTGGGCTTTGGCGGGCATCATCTACGCGACTGATTTACGTCCCATCCATTTTTGAGGGGGTTCCGAATAATTAAAATGACGCGGTCAGATTTCTACGGGTAGATTCCCAATCCTTTGAACCATGGTTCTTTGGGTTTGCTTGTAAATTTAGGGAACCCCAAAATGGGCTTTGGTTTGACTTTGGCTCCCCCTTCAAGCCAACCAAACGGGTGGCCCCAAAACAAGACACGCCGTTCCGAACCCCTGCCTTGGAAACAACACGTTTTCCGAGCTTTCCCCTAAAACACGGGGTTGTCCCTTGACACATCCCCTACCAGCGAGGTTTCGCCGAGCTTTCGGAGGTCTGGACAAGCCCCGCGCTTGAAGGTCTGCAGGTCTGGCTCAAAGCCTTCCTGGCCGAGTCGAGTCCGAAAGACTGCAGCCCAGATTCTCCGTTGAAACATGAGACCCCTTGGGGAAACTCACTTATGGCCAAAGGCGATGTCAAAAACATCACGCTTTAATTGGAAACAAAACTGCACCTGAGAACTGGGTCCTTGTTCCTCGGCCCGGCTGCGTTCTTGCGCAGGTTGTTGCAAGGTTTCGGCCGTTGGGGGTAGGACTGCAATTGGCTCCTGATGTTTTTGGTAACAACGTGTAAGAACCATAAAGGCAAACCAAACAACAGCACTTTGGGTGGATTATACTTCACGTAACTACCTGAAAACAGAACTGGCGCCCCAAGACACAAACATTCATGCGGTCGCAATTTGCTGGGAGCCCAAGACAGGAAGTATGAGGGTCCAAGGACGCCACCCCCAATTACCTCATTGATTTGAAGTTGTGCAAGCAACAAACAGAAAAACAAACGAAAGTAAACTGACTATCGACCGGACATGGCCTTTTGAAGCATCTGTTTGTTACTAGAGCCGGAGAAGGCCCTTCAACGCACACAAAGCGAAAAAAATAAAAAAAAAATAAAAAAAAAGGAGCGAGTTATATCTTGCAGGTGTACCAAAGTAAAAAGCAATGCGTCAGTACTAGATACGGGTTCTCAGCCAATGGTCTGGTGGCCCATGGGTTGAGGATTCCGTTCGCAGTTTGCAAAACAGGGCCTGCTAGTGGCCCAGGCGTTCCATGTTTCTACTATACTAACGTTGCAAACTTTGGACCCTGTGTAAAGACTCTTCCCATGACTCACTAAAGAGTGCCACATTTGGATACAGTAAATATTTCCTTGGGTGTCGCTGTTGCTTTAAGTTGCGGGCATATGTCAACTGCTCACAAGCCTCTTTCTCAAGCATGCACACTTGATGTCATCGACTGCAACCACCGCTTGTCAGGAAGGTCATGGGTGCATGTTTTGCCGGCCGGCCGATCTTCTATTCCATGTGACAATTGCCTTCAGTTCTGTTCAGTGGCTGGTGGGTGGAGGATTATCAATGATAGTCGTCCGCCGTAAATCCACTGAACAGCCAAATAACGGTCTTCAAATGTCACCCCAACTGCGCAGGGCAGAGGCTCCTCGGAATAAGCAGGATCTCTCACTCAACGCCCCATTCAGAGGCATGAGCAACTCCAGCCGGCTGATCTTCTTTTTCATGTGACAATTGCCTTGGGTTCTGTTCAGTTACTTCAGGGTGACTACCAATGCATCCTCCAATGACAATGGCTTATACACCAAATTGTAGGGTATATAACTATGGCGTAACCATGTTTATATTCCGCAACTGCACATCCAAGTCGGGAGGGTTTCAACCAACCTCCTCAGAGAAATGTGTTTCCTCTCGAATTTCTTCGGATGTGTGAGCAGCGCGATGATGGCGACGGTCTCCTTCGAAAGATTCTCCGCCTCTTTGCGAACAGCAGCCATGGCAAAGCAATGCCGACGGCGTGAGCGAACACAAACTTTGGGCGTGAGCCACTGGCCAGCAGAGAAGCATTCGCACCATCCACACGACGCCCAAAGTGTGAACACCTCTGAGCTGTCCACGTCTGTGTACCGATGTCTCAAACACATCTGTCACTCGCCCAGCCCAGCTTCGCGGCCATAACGACTTCAGGAACAACTTGTCTCTGGCTTACGTTGTTCGAACGCATAATGGAGCATCTTGCGTGGTAGCCGGTAGATGTCTCGATAGACTATAGAAAACTTTTACACATCTCAGCGATTGGAGAATAAGGCTCATAAACACACATATCAAGTTTCATCCGCATTTTACGTTAAAGATGGACGGTGGTTGAATCGGACCATCACTTAAGCTGAAAGTGCGATCATTTTTCGCTGCAACGCCTTTGCTCTCTTGATTTCCCGTTTGCCTGCCAGGCATCGTTCATCCACTGCTCCGCGGCGGCCGGGTTGCCCGCCTGCAGTTGTTGGATGGCTAGTGGTGGGTGTGGGGCGATGGCTCAGGTTCCGGCAATGTTTCGGGGTTTGACAACCCGACGGCACAGGTTCAAGGGGAATGAATCATGGCTGTTGGAGATACTTCTTGGGCTTGTGCTCATTTTCTTTGTTAGGAGGAAGTGGTGGGTGAGGTGGTAGCTCGCAAGTGAACAAACAAGTGCGGCCCTTAAAATTGCTGCCCCAGGGCTGCAAGGAGAATGAAGAACTCTTGATGTGGGTTTCTCAAAATTGCTGTCCAACCAGGGGTCCCCGATTTGGAGAAACCCTCATATCTTTCAGGACCAAACATAATTGTACCAACTTGTACCAACTTGAACCCCCCTTGAAATGGCAACGTGAACCTGCTTGTTTGATCCTTCCCATAGCGGACATTTCGTCTGACACATGGCAAGAGAAATGTCGGCCCCAGATCAAAATCAAGCTTGCAGATGTTCAGGATTCTCTCTCAAATGGTTTACTACCTCTTGAATGGTTTACAATGTTTGATCAAGATGATCAGGAGTTCAATCACAAAGCCACATGAAAGGTCAACCTCTTGGAACCTTGACTCAAACCCACCAAAACGAGGAAATGAAAGGCGTCCTCTCAGGTCGATCCGCGCGAGCTAAGGACCTCTTGACATCCGCGGACGAAACGTCAGGTCCGGAACAGACATCATTTCACGCGTTAATCGGTCGACTTTTGGTGTAGGAGAAGACTTCGCCAGACTCCGACTGCAAAAGGCAATCACTTTTTGCTGGCATGAATTAAGCAGCCCAAGCGATTTTCTCAAACAACCTTAATGCGAAACACATGGAACAACAACGCCCTCGAAGGGCGGTTCACAACAGGAGGTTAGGCATTTTAGCTGCTCAAGCGAGGAAACAAAGAAACCCAAATCATTTGGCCATGTCCAGGGCCATCCAGGAGCCTCAGCCAGGTTCCCCTGCTACTTGGCCCACGAAAAAGGAGTGGAAGCACCTTTTAAAAACAGAGAGGCTCAGCTTCATGTTTAGTCTACCCTACTCGAAAGTCCGTCGAACCGGTCCCACCTCGACATGCCGATGTGTTCTTGACCTCATTCAAACCACTTATGGAACTAACCATGGAACTAACTGTGGTAATCGGGGTGACACCTCCTTAAGCAGCTTTGTCTCCCGCTTTCTTGGGGCAAGGCAGACATGGAGCCAACCACTCCAATTCGAATCGCCTCCGCTGCCACGTGCATCAGCTCATGGAAGATCCCGGCTTCCGGCTGCACCTCCCGCGGATGTTCTGCAACGACCTTCTGTTGGGAAGTGGTTTTTTAAGGGTTTGGTGGGCAACCTCTTTAGAATTATTGGATAAATTACGGGTTTGACAAAGTTTCTTTTTCAGGGAAGTTCGTGCACCCCTCCACACATGATTTTATCCCAAGAGGACGCTCACTTTTCAGGTGATGCTTGAACCGCCCAGCGAGGGGGACCATGGGTGCCGCAAAATATCCTGAGGCCCTCAAGAAGGGTCGTTTCTCTGTGGCTTCCCTTCCTTTGAGTTTCATCTTTAAAGCCAATCCAAAGGTACTCTCAATCTGAAAGAAACGCCCGCCGCAAGGTCTGTGAGAAACCCGCGATGGGTTACCGGTGTCTCCAGGGTTTCCCTGAAAGCAAACCCAGGTCTTGGGTCCTCTTGGGAAAACATGGATGACAATGGATTGGTTGCTACGGGTTCTCTCTGGGCCCAGTCAGATTCAGAGGGGGCATGACATGTATGCAAGGTACACCCAGGGTTTCTTAAATGACGCATCCACAAGCCACCTGCTTTACAAAGGAGCCGCCAAATCAGGAGGTGATCTTTCCTCTGGCCGAAATGTATCCCTAAAGCCCTGCGTGTGTTCCCTTCTAAAAACCACATGGATCCAAATGGCAGCGAATGGGGCGTTTCCATGCTCCCTAACAGGCCCCTAACAGGCCTAACAGTACCCTAGGGCCTATTCACGTAGTTACAAATCAATTTTCTTGAGGGGGGGGTACTTTGATCCCCCCCAAAAAATTGTCAAACAATAAATATAGCCATAAATCTATCTCAGCATTTGGCCCAACCAGAAAACAAGAATCTTTGATTATCCACATTTAGTGACCTTATGTGGGATATTGAGCCAACAGATACTTGCGGCCGGGTGGGATCAACATGGTTTCAACCGGCTGAGCCACGAGCTGGTGCACTTCGGAACAAACGGTGGTTTCTCTAGGCAGCTGTTCAAATAGTTTGAAGCGGGAGTGCGTCTCTTTCAGCCCTGAGGGGTTCCACAAGTACTAGTCCAGCCCTGCTGCCACCTAAATCAAAGTTGACAAGCCCGCCTGCAAGCAATCTTCAAGAATGATTTCCGATGGAACAGGTCGCAGCCAGACTTCATCGTGCAACAATCCAAGTCAAATAACGCAAGAAGCTTCGCATGAAATTGATTTCAATGACTTCCAGCTAGTCAACTTGTTGGTTGCGAACAGTAAGCCGATGCACATCACGCTGAACGAAATGCCGATGGTAGGGCACGGGCTTTGGAGAAAAGCCAGTGTCTCTTCTGGCATGTGGCTGAGCTTTGCGAGCTCTGTGATCCAGGCCGCTCGATTCTGCAGGGCTGCAGAAGAAGCAAAGCTGCGACGAGTTCGCCGACTTTGGCAAGGGGCAAGGCCGACAGCACTGGGCTATGCTTTGTTTGTTTCAGGAAGCCAAGAAGAACCTGGAACCGGGTCCCGTGGTTGGTCGGAGTCGCCGTTTCGAAAGCCGCCCTTTGGGAAACAAACTCAGTGGCCCAGGTTGGACCCAAAATCACAGCTTACCCATTTGGGGCCACCTAAAAGTGACCAGGGGAGTCATTAGGTGGGTTTGTCTCAAAATAGGGGGCGCCCCACCCAAAACCAACAACAACAAAACGGTGGTGGAAAAGCTGTTGCTTTCCCTTTCAAAACCCATCCAGACAGGGCTAGCCTAGCCTCAGCTACACCGAGACCATCGATTCGACGACCGCGGCTCGCCTCCAAGGCCTTCATGCGGAACAGCCACCGCTCCGCCCGCTGGGTGTCCGCAGCCTGGGCGCAGGAGGCCTGGCACTCGGCACTCGCTCGCACGCCTTTCCGCTACCACGGCCTTTCCTCTCAAAACAGGGTCACATGGGCGAACTCCTCTATGGGTGGGTTTTCCTTTGGAAGTTAAGTGTTGAAAGAAGGAACTCCGAAAAGGCAGGCTGTTGCAAGAGGCAAATCTATCTTTGGCACGAAGCAGTAGAAGGGGCCAAATGCTTGATTATTACACACCTCAGTCTATACTCATGACCAATTTGGTCTTAGCGAACGCCACAGCCCCATTCCAATTGTTTCGCCCCTTACACAACTGGGCGTGGACCTGTCAATTCTTGAGTGTACCAGTGTACCCCTTGTTGGGGGTGCTTTAAAGGGAAAACCAAGAGGACACCACTCATTTCGGGCCCTCCCTGACTTCTACTTGCTGAAGTCCCCTGGAATAAGTACCCCTTTTGCATGGCAAAGGGAAACCAACAAGAACAACTTAAAACCAGTCAGCGCCATTTGGGTCTCAACAAAAAGCATCTCCCAAACAGATTCAAGCCGTGCCGGCCATGTGCCAAGCTCGCCAGGAGCGCGATGATGGCGCCGAAGTGCAAAGGGCCAGGCCTGGGGGCCGGCGGGGCGGCAACTTGCAGCCAGTGACCCGATGTCTCACGTCGGGAAGGAGCGGATTGGCAAGACAAAGTTGAAGAACTTACTGGTGTACCACTCAAACATGTGGTTTTGGGGGTTGACCAAAACAAGGGGAAGGAAGCTTGTGACGGAAAAAAGGTACGTGCCACTGAACTTCCAGCCTTCAGTGCACTATACCATAAGCTGCTGGAGCTTTTCCTTTTGAATGATTCGAGGGGAGAATAGTTTTTGTCAAAGTCAGGATGGCTTGCAGCCAGTGAGAGGGTGCGCCAATTCCTGCCCAGCCCTGGACAGATCTCCATTGCAGGCCGTGTGATTGCGGACTGTAACTCAGTAACCAACCAAAGACTAACTAATTGCTGTACCTTGTCTGGCAACCCCCCATTTTGACAAACATACTCACAGACCCTTTTCAAGGGCCCTTCATGTTGACCCAATGTCCGCCGTTGATGCTCATAAGTGCCATTTTCAAAACTCCTAGTGTGGGCCATGGACATTGTTCTCTTAGCAGGAATCATGGCGTTGGCTGTCTAACACGCTGAAGGGTCCTTGACCCTACCAACAGCAAGCAAATGGTTGCTTTGACCATTGCACCAATGGGAGTTTCTCTAAAATTGGTTGGAATTTACAGGGAAACCTAAAGCAGACCGTTGCTATTTTATTGGCCCGTCATTTTATCATCATCAAAGTCAGCCCCCAAGCAGGATAAAGGGAAGCCACCACAGTTTCTGACTTTGACCCTAGAAACAGTCAAAACAATGACCCTACTTTTTAGGGGACCAACTCCGATTTTGAGAAACCCCAAGCTGGTTTTCCCGTCGACGCTTCAAGTCCCGGGAATGGGGAGCCGGGCTTCACCCCGGCATCGATCATCTCGTAGAGCGCGTCCTGGCGTCGATCGATCTTTTTGAGTTCCCAAATGGCGAAAGGGGGGCGTGTCAATTACAGCTTTATCACAAATTCCCTTTAGCTCTCTTTTAAACATGATGAACATTGCACAGAGCATAAACACCGGCCCGAACAAACGGGGGCCAGTTCTATCCAATTGCTAGAGTGCGTTTTGACTATCCCTACGAACGCCAACCAAGTTTATCCAACAGAAAGTGCTCTACTATAGTCCTTCTTAAACACCGGCTTATCCAATTGCAAAGATTCTTCACCTTGGAGCTTCCTTTTGAATGCCAACCCAAAGGGGGCCTACTTCCACCTTGTGAAGCTAAGAAACCCTTAGAAAGTTGCAAAATTCTGAGCGGATAGTTCTGGCCCCCAATCAGTCCCCGCTTGAGGCGGGCATTTCCCATTTCAATTGACTCGGGTTTGACCCCGAAATGGAAAATCTATGGGGCCCACCCAAGGGCAACCCAAAGGATCCAGGTACCTCATGTTTGCGGTTTGGGGAATTTGTCACTTCAGAAAGGAGTAATTGGACCCTCTGGTACCCTCAAAAACGCAACATCGCTCACACCCACACACACACACAAACGCGCACACACACACGCATACCTATACTAGTGCAGATTTAACAAATGGGCACTGGATGCAAATGGAGAGCTGGGCACAACTAAGCAAAGAGCCAAACAATTCAACGCCGCACCTTTTGTTTCCCATCTGGTGGCAGAAACAAATGGACCCGTCAAACAGGTCAAGCGCCGAACCGATTCTCGATTGCCGCTCTCCTCGGCTTCGTTGGCCAGGCCGCCTTCTGCCAGCTCCCTGAGCCCAACGCCAGCGGCTGGGGACAAAATCGCAGGACTGCCCAACTGCTCTTTCCAGGGAAATGGGTTCTACGATGTTCTACGGGTTGCATCATGGAACAGCTTCATCTTTGGGGTTCCATCATCCAGGCTTCCTAGCTGCTTCTTTTCCATGGGGAAAAAATCCCCAGACAAGGCCTTGATTGAGGGTGCTCCGATGGGACCTCGCTCTGATTTCTGCTAAGCCGGGGAATATGCCTCCTTAACGACCCCACGACCCCTGTAAGCTTAAGGGTAGATTCTTGCCAAACAAACCTCACTGGTCAGCAGCTCTTTGTTAAGGCGCTGGAATAGAAATTCTGACATGTACGTTAACAAAAAGAGTGACACGACAGCCGAGCATGATTTGCCTTTGAACACAAAACCTCCGATAGTTGCCACTCCCAGGCCCAACTCAACAAGCATCTGATCAACCGCACTCGCAATCACTCGCAATGGTCAGATTCACCTTTACGCTCGGGGTGATGGGAACCCCAGATTCATCAACCCCAGCTTTCCAACAGTGTGTGCCTGGGTTTAGTGGGAAGGGGACCCACCACCAATTGTCTGACTCCCTGAGTCTTGAGGGGCCAAGGAATGTCTTCTAACCGTACCACTAAACTGCTCCAAACCCAAAACTCAGGGAGTAAGTCATGTCGAGATTCAGAGCAACCAAAGGACCACTTGGGCCTCTTTTCCGGTGGGATCCTCAGCGCTAGGAGCCTGACAAAACTCCCGAGTGAGCTGCTGGGTCTGCCAGTGTTCCCTCCGCAAAGGGGCGCCAAATCGAGCACCTTTTTGGGGTGGATGGGACAATCCGAAGAGTTGCCAAAATATCTAAGAGGCTTTGGTTCTGCCAACATGGTTTCACAGCTGTGTATAGGCCTTACTTCATGCAACCGAGCAGTAGAGCCTACAAAAACGGCACTTATATGAGTTCGGGTGCTGCTCCTGCTCGGGTGCCGTGTTCAGACCATGCCCATCTCTCAAAAAGCCACCCGCCTGAGCCGTCGAAGCTGCGCATCCTCGACGTCCTGAAAACCAAATCGGCTGAACCAAACATCAAACTGATCGCTCATGTCGCCTTAGCATCGCCAACCCAAGGGTACGCCAAAAAACATGTTTCAGATTCTGCTTCATGTTTAGTCAAGCTTTTAAGCATAAATAACATAGGAGGAGACCCCTGTTCTACCTATTCTGTCTCCTTCAAACATCGCAACCGAGGGAAACTCACTTTGAGTTAGACCCCAAAATATGGAGTCGTGAGTAGCCCTTTTGCGTATTGCTTAATACAGGTTGTCCCAAAACAACCATCAATTTGGAGGCCAATTTGGGGAAACACCCCCGAAGTAAAGGTCATCCAGTTGTGATAATCCAGGTGAGCATGCCAGGGTCATAAGCTTTGGATTGCCCTGATCAGCAGCTGCCAGAAAGGAGCTCAACATCTAGCATACTGGATAAGCGTGCAGCGTACATTTGCACTCCTGCCTCAAGGCTGTGTAGCTTCTCACAAGAACCACCTAGCTGTCCATTCTCGCGGTAGTTGGTTCGTAATGTTTTGTGATTGAACAGTTGATAACAAACCCGCCGGTATCTCTTCCGTCTTGCCAGAATCATGAAGACAAAGCGGCTTGGAAGACTTCCATAGCTCAAACAGGGCCTTTTCAAGGCGAACCCCCAATCCCAAAGCCAAGCCCGGGGCAAGGCTTCCACAGGGTGAAATATGATAGCACGCCAAACCAAAATAAAGGCCTGCTATAAAGTGAACCTTCATCACGGGTGGCAAACACACATAGATTTCTAACTTCAGCAAATGGAAGGACATGGGAATGAATTTAATGGGAATGGTGGACATCATTTAGGTGGGGATTTCTGTCCACCAACCCCTCGTCACTGGGCTCCTCTTCTACACGCATTACTTACTACCGTATAGCGTTGGTAATTATCAGGCAAAAGTTGGCTTCCCAAAAGCATCCATTCTGCGCTCCAAAGCGGCTCAGTTGCAATGTTCAAGTGACACTCCCACGTGACCCAGTCAACACACATGGTTTCCCGGAATACTTGTGAGCCCCGTGTTCACTGACCCCAACGCCGATCGCCTGCTCTGTCTCCACCTCCGCAACCGCACGGAGGGGGCGGAGAGGCCTGGCATGGCAAATACATCGCTGGTAAGTGACTCGGCTTTAAAACAACTCCATCCTACTGGTGATTTGTTTAGTCATCGGTCCGCCGCTGACCTACCTCTACCGGGATTTGTGCCATGTTTCTCCCCATTGTGTCATTGACCCTCCATAAAAGCCCGGGCCTGCCTCAGATCCCAAGATTCTTTGAGCGTATTCCAAACATGTCCATTTCCGCTCTGAAAGCAAAGGGGGAAGTATAAGATCGATTGCCAAATGACGCATATCCGTCTGAGCTGAGAATTCTTGTCAGGCACAAACCTCAAAACACATTGCCACAAAAAAATACTAAACCAACACCTTCAAGAGTGAGGCCGTAAATCCCTCTGCCGAGGTTGACATGCATTTCCCCCAACTAGATGGACCCAAGTCAATACGGGTCCCGCAGTGCGGCTTACTTCTCATCCTTTTGGTTTCCCTTCAGGCCAAAAAAAAGGACGTGCTCTTCAACAAAAAGGGACTCCCAAATAAGAGCCTTTTTGTTTTTACAGCTCCCAGGGCTTCGAGCCCGACGGTCGGCGCGCCTTCGGGGCGCCGCCAAATGGCAGAAACAGGCGCCACTGACCAAGGCCTCGGCGCAGTTTCAGGTAGTTTTGAAGGTATGGAGGTGATGTACCACTCATTTAGAAGGGTGCATGCTGCTGTGTAAGCTTGCTTATACCGGTGGAATAGAAGCCCAGTGGCTGTGTCTCGAAATGAGGGACATATTCCTCCTTCTTGTCCCAAAGACCATTCCCCATTTTGAGACAGCCCCAGTGAATGTCCATGGGAAACAAGGACACCCTGATGTTGTTGGTTGATTTTGAAGGGCACCCTCTGGGTGCGCCAAACACGAGCGCGAACTCTGAATGCGGGTGGCCAATGGGTGTATATAACAGCCTGTATATATATATATATATGTTTATCTATACATGCCGCTAGCGGGTACTTTTCAGCTTTGTTTTTGCTAGGATTCAGCTAACCCCAATAAAACGTAGGTTTGTTTGCAGTAGAACTTATGTAGGTATGGCTTTGGCTAGATTGACTCAACCTGCAAACAGTCAATGTGAAGCAACCTGAAAGAGTAAAACAGCACAAAATGCAAGAGTGCGGCCTGGTAATATGGCTATGCGCCGTTATTGGGGAAAGACTGGTTGGACAATTCCCATGTGCATGATGCCCAGGGCGCCAATGTCCGTTGTGTAAAGTGGGTGGAGAGTCTTGGAGTTGGAGTCCACTTCCCTCGCCAAACGATCAGCTGCATTTTCGGACGCTCTCCCAGGGCTAAAATTGCTTCAGGTCAACTTTTGCGTGGAGTATAGACTCATCTTATAAGGAGGATATGGCTTGTTATTACTCGTCTCAATCATCTAATTGGCCCGCTCCATCTCATCAATGATTGGGAATGCAAGCGCTATCTTGTCACTTTCGCCACTGATCTGCTGAAGCAAAGCCATGATTTGTTTGACGCTGTCGCTTGCTTTGGAAGTCCACAAACCTGTGGGTCGCTGGCTGCACCTTGCTGACGGTGTGGTTTTTACCGCTTTGGCATTGCTCCTTGGCTCGGGATGCACGAGGTGCAAACAAACAAGGCGTCTGTCTGTGGAGTTGGTGCCACTTTCCGTTTTTTTTTAAAGGGAAACCAAAAAAAAGCTAGGCCCCAGTTGACGGTTCCCGATTTCAAGACAACCTGCACGGAAGCGTGCAAACACTTGTTGAGCCTACGTACGTTCATGTTGTGCGGCAGGAAATAATGTGTGGCCTTGAATGTGGTGATAGGCTATAGGCATGTTGTGTTGGTGTTGTTGTTCAACTAAATAGGCAACTGTCCTCTGATGCCCAAAAAAGCAGCACCCAAAACCCTTAGATTTTTGGTTCTTGTGGTTTCATTAGCTTCTAAATGCCGCGTCCAACACGATTTCAGATTTTAGGATAGGCTATATGGACGAGAGCCTGAAAAACATGTTTGTTGCGTTGCTCAGATGGCCAAGAAATGGGTCCATGGGCTAAGTGGATTCACTTGGCCACTTCAGTCGCGGGCCAGCCCCAAGACAGCGCGGCCTGGACGTGTGGGTTCTGCCAAAATGGGCACATCAAACTTGTGGTTTTCCTTGAGATTCCCTTCAAAGCCATGACAAAAAGGGAACCCTCGAAGAAGACACACCTGCCTAGGGTCTATTTTTGGACCCTCCTTCTTTGCTCTCTTTAGCTCCGAGAAGCATGCCCAAAGCGCTTCCTGTTTTTACACTCAGGGCCAAACAATTGCGCACCGGTTGGTGAGTGAAGCAACAAAGGGATCTTGCAAGACGTGTATCTCGAGGCCTGGCAAGCTCGCCACAGAGTACATTATCTGGGTATAGATTCCCAAATTGGCATTAGAATCCTCCGCCGCGGCATTTGGGCGTCGGTTAGGCAGGATTCCCAATTGCATCTGTCACTGGTAGCGCTAGCAAAACTCAAGCTTCTCCATGCGAAACAGTATGTGGGTGTGTCTCTTTTTGAGGGTTCACCTTTTGGGGCTGTTACAAAGGGAAACGGAAAGGGAACTCACGCATTTCGTGGGTTCCCTCATCTTGAGACATCCCCCGCTAGGTGAAGAAACGCAAGGCTCTGTTCGTTTGTTTGTGCTCACGGATCATCCTTGCGAACATGTCAGAACCGTGATTTGTTGAACACTTCACAGCTTTGGGGCCTTGATAAGCCGACAGTTGAGGCATGTGGGAAACTGCAAGCAAAATCAAACGAAGCAAACAAGAAATGGACTTCAAATATCACAGCTTATTCTTCTCCTCAAAATTGTGAAAGCCCAAAGTGGCGCTAGACACCTGCGCCGTGGCACTGGGGCGCCGTTTGAGGTTGAGGGTTCCGTTTGTCGCAAGGGTTGCCATGTCCTTTTGTCATGTTCCTTTTGGAAGCTC